TCCAAGGAAAGAGCTGATCAAATGGTCCTTTTATGGTTTATATCTTTCCTAACTGAACCTCTTCTCCCACAAGTAGTGGGTTATCATATATCAAAAGATGTATGGATGCTTTAGCTAGAGCTTTTGCATTGTGCTTGAAGTGATGAATTTTATAATTATGTATCAAACTATATGCTTGATATATAAATGCATTTAGTGTATCAAAATAATCTCTGATGAACTTGTTATGATTGGTCAGGTAATCTATGATTAAGATTTTATTATTTTTATTTTGGTCATATTCAGTCAAATTTATTAGACTTTTATTTTCAAAATTATCACTTATCTTGATTTATTCACTTTATAAGATGTATTTGGACATGTTATTGCAATGAGACAACCACGACACAACAACACTCTTTTATAGCATCTCAATAATATTCTTTCGTGAATGCAACTACTATAAGTTATAATGAGAGAATACATTATGGTGGTGTTGAAGGTTGTGGACATGGTCATAGAAGACACATATTATGTTGCTAAATTTATCTTCAATTTCAATATTATGATTGTAACTTCATATAGAATTATCAATATGCATGTCATAATCTATCATTTGATAAATTATTTCATACTTATTCTACATATACAACTTATTTGATGGCTTTGTGATATTTTACCCACACTAAAAGGAGCAACATCATGGAATCTAAATAGTGGTGATACTTGTCATATTACTTTAGACTATAATCCCTTTGTGATTCAACAAGTTATATAAGTTTTGATAAACTATTTGTAAAAAATCATGAAGGTCTATCCATTTCCTCTCTTAGATTTACAACCCCACCCTTGATACTCTTTTTTGTTCTCTCTAATTAAATAATATTTTACATGTTCCTTGTATCAATTGTAATTTACTCTCCGTTCATAAGCTTATTGCTAATAATACCTTTTATTGAAGCTCATCTATTTTATTATCTTGTGAAGGATCACACATCAGGTCAACTTCTCCTATAAAGAGACCTTAAAGAGAACCTCTATTATTTTCTATCATCTCAATCGGTACTCATGATTCATGATGAACGTGTCTCCTCCATTCTAACACTCTCATCTTGGTCACTTAACTTTCAAATTCTGTCCACTATTATTAATAAATTTGGCTTTCTAATGACTTATTATGTCACTTGAACTATTTGTTGGCTTGATGTTTGTCAAAAAGTCATTAATTACTTTTTATCTAATCTTCTATGTATGAAAAATAATTTTTAATTAATTCACTTTAATCTATTAGGACCTACTCTTATTATCTCCTTGTAAATTTTCATAGATATTTTTTTATGACTTTGTTAAATACACTTGAATTTTTCTTCCTAAATATAAATCTAATATCTTAGATTTTATTTGGATAAGGTACAAACTCTACTATGCTTTAAGTATCCCCTTCAAATTGCCGAATTAGAAAAATGGGATGCTATCATACCATCGCCTAAGTTCACGAACTGGAGGTAAGTGAACTCGAACTTTTTCATTTTCAACATGATTCTAAACATCTATTTGGTCTTTGTATTCTTATCCTCTAGTTTGATCTAATGGTGAATATCAATCACTCAATCATCTTTTTTACTATGGTACTCAACACCATATTTCTTGTCCATATACACCAAAATAAATTAGAATAGTACGGTGAAAATATTTCCACACTATTTAGACTGCTCTAGGTCTTCTATGTACTATTTTCATGCCACATCAATTTCAAGACAAGTTTGCCTTGACTTCTATTTGCTTGATCAATCATCTATTTATACTTGTTCTTAATTCAAACTTTTGGGTGGATATGTTATCTTTATCCTTGGGTTACGTAAACTTATTGATATGAGAATTACCTTTTTTTGGATGTAGTGATCTGCACTATCGTTACTATTGACCTTATATTTATGCTTACAAATAAATCAAAAGACATTCTTCCACATACCCCAATGGTGTTGTCCACTACACTTGGGATTATTAGGCTATTCTCAAGTTAGCCTCCAAAGCCTAATGAAGTTACGATATCATCTTTTACCTTTTTACGCATGACTCATTAAACTTTATTGTAGAAGTTAATAATGAGCTAATATCTTCATTCAAATTGTCAACATTTATTATTGAACATGATTCTACATATGAACATTCATTTGGTGACTCATCAAACTCTACTAGAGAAGTTACTAATGAGCATGTATCTTCACCCAAAGTATCACTATCTCTAACAATGTGCACTCATTCTCTTGTAAATCATTATGTTATTACTTCATATACATTATTGGTACAATTTTATCCTTTATTTATGTCTTGTCATAAGCATACCCTATATCAATACTAATTTTACTCAAGCATCAAATGATTAACATGGAAAGCATCTAGGCTTGTTGAATTTGATGCACTTTTGTGTAATGAAATTTCACCTCCTGTGTTTTGATATCCCCATATAGATGTTGTTAGATATAAATATGTTTTCGATTGAACTATAAAGCTGATGGATCTTTCGAGCATCACATAGCATGATTTTTGGCTAAAGGTTTTCAACAAACATTAGGTATTGACTTTCATCAAACCTTTGGCCCAATCATCAAAATTACTATCTCATGTCTTCTTCTTGCTATTGCTATCAACTACATAGTCTATATGATAATTATGTGTTTGATGCCTTTCACCATAGTTGTGTTGAGGAAATTATATTTATGGATCAACTCCCAAGCTCTATGCATCCTCTTTTTCCACATCATGTTTGTCATCTTAAAAAAATATTTATATTATTTACATCAAGCTATGAGAGTATAGTTCACATGTCTTCATTTACAACTTTAGGAGCTTGGTTTCTCTAGCTTGAGGACAGACTCATCTTTGTTCTATCATCACTCTAACAACTCACAACTTTTCATTTTGAGATATGTGGATAATATTCTTCTTATGAACTCAAATATAAGAAAAATTGATGCATTCATTACTTCATTAAATACTAAGTTTCTTATTTCTGATCTTGGCAATACTCATTACTTAGGCATTGAGTTAGTCAATCATCTAAATAATTGTTTTTTTTCAAACTAAATATATTATAGATCTACTTAAGGGAGCTAAGATGAAAAGTTCTAAGCTCATATCTACACTTATTATTGCCTCATCAAGTTATGAACACACTGTTATATTTAGACTATGTGGGTTCATCTCATTATATAAGTATTTTGAGTTCTCTTCAATACGTTGCTATCTCTTATCTTGATATTCATTTTATAGCTAATCAGGCTTTCAAGCTTCTCAATTCATTTGTGAGCCATGGGTTGAGTATTATATTGTGGTCAAATGTATTTTGTGATATCTTAGAGGGATTATTGGACTATAGTTTACTACCTCAATCTAACATCGAAGTAGAATATAAGGCCATTACAAATACCACAATATATTTAATTTAGTTACATTCACTCTTACAAGAACTTGAACTTTCATTTTCATCACCACCAAATCTTTGATAACATAATATTGGGGCCATTTACCTTGTTGTAAATTTAGGCTTCCATCCTTGAAAGAAACATATCAAAATCGATTTTTTCTTTGTTCATTAACAAGTAACATCAAATCAAATTTTAGTATCTTTTATTTTCACAAAAGATCACCTAGTAGATCCTTTTAGAGAAGGAATATCAAAGAGTCAATTTACATGGCTCAGAGAGAAGTTCTATGTGATAGACTAGCTTGATTGATCATAAAAGTTACATAAGAACCATGTAAATTTTCTGTGCAAAATAGATTTAATAGACTCCAATGGATTCTAAGAAATTAACTTAGAGCTGAAAAATTACCAAAATATCTACCAATGCACCCTCTCTCTTAGTACTTCAACTAATAAAATTCCAAAAGAAGAACTCTAATATTTTAATTAAGAAGATACTAATATTATATTTCAGTTTTTAGATCAAAGAAGTGTGACTAATTATGTTTGAGTTATAGAATATCAAATAAAATATTACATATTTTATGGGCTCAAGGATTAGTGAAACATATACAAGCTTTGTGATAATTAGAGATCTAATAGATGATATTGATATGATTCTATTAAAAATCAAAATCATTTTCTTCACTTTGGTCTAATAAAGTGTTACAATTGTTAAATTTTCTATTTGACAATTCAACTGTCACATTTGACTTCTTTCTCTATTCTAATTAATAACAATGTGGATTATATCTTAATTATTAATACTTTAATTATATAATATTATTGAAAGAGAAATATTTTCAGATAATTATATTGCTGATGAAATATGTTTCTTGAGGAAAGATACATTGAAAGATAACTTTTCTGAAATAATTCATAAATTATGTCACTAATGAAATATGTTTCTTCTTTGAATATGTTCAATATTCTTTTTTAATATATCTTTCCCCCCTCTTCATCAAGTTCAATTATATTTTAAGTGCTAGGATAAGAACTCTCTACTATGATTCTCTACTCTCATTTCAATTTTTTTCTTTTTCATCAATAGTCCTAAATTGAGCATCAAAGAGTCCTAGTAATATTCCCACTAATACAAGTTCAAAGCATTGATTACTCTAATACATTGGCCCTTGGGGTATTTGAGCATTAAATACATGATTATGTTGATGATGAAAAATATTTGTAAGATCAATTAAAGATTAAAATATTTACATTATATATATACATGTAAACACAGAGAGAGAGAGAGAGAGAGAGAGAGAGAGAGAGAGAGAGAGAGAGAGAGAGAGAGAGAGAGAGAGTTACACCATAAAAAGATTTCTTATTTTTCTCGAGGGCTATCCCTCCTCAAGCAGTCATCACCTTTCCAAGTCATCGGACACTATCATTTCTATGATAAAGATGAGAAAATCCACAGAGAGAGAAAGAGAGAAAGAGAGAAAGAGAGAAACACGGGCCTTTGGTATCAAAAGGTTTATTATTCAACAAGATGCAGAAATATTTATTATGAAATTATTGCTCGCTACATAGAACTTCGCCGAAAACTCAACACTTATATAGTTCCGACGTAGACATTGAAATTATAGACGTTTGATGGGCAGTCAGTGGTGAAGTCGCGAGCCGACGTTCCGGAGAGTACAGTCAGCCCGTTCCGTTTGAGACTGAACGATTGCTGACCTGCGCCGATGGCCACCTGAGACATGACGGCGCCGGCGGCAACGTTGAAGGTCGACGACTGCCCCCCCGAAGTTACGACCAGCTGGGCCGGCGAGGTCAACAGCGTGACGACGAACAGCGTGTCCGAAACATATTGGTATCCCTCCGGCCGACCGGTCGCGTCGTTGCACTGGGCGTTGACCGATTGGATTCTGTACCAGTATACTATGTTGTCCCCGGTGATCACCGGAGAGGAAGACCCCGCCTTGTAGGCCTTGACGAAGGCATTCTGAATCAAGCGGAAGCCGTCGTGGGGCATCCCGGTCGTCCAGGCCGAAGCTCCTGCAGGGTACAAGTTGGAATCTGTCCTGAGCGGGGCAATGTATGTGCTCTCCGAGTAGTCGTTCCAGGTCAGCTGGTAGACAGCGGCGGGGGAGGTGACCAAGATGTTCTGCCAGCGCCGGAGGTACAGATCTTCCGTCGGGAACAGCCAGTTCTTGTTGTACGAGCTGGGAGGGTAGTGGGTGAAGAACCAGGGGGACACGGGGGCGAAGTAGAGCTTGCTCCCTATCGTCGCCTTCCAGTAGGAGTCCTGGTTGACAAGGTTAGGATAGGGATCGGCGACTCCCTTGTTGTTGACCGTCCCCCAAGCATTCCAAGGATATCCTCCCTCCACCAGAGAATTGGAGGCCACAAAGGTGGGGTCGGCCCAGTTGGGAGCGAGGAAGATGTTGGTCATCGACTTGACGCTCGACCAGTCCTGGTTATCTCCGATGAAGGTGGTGACCAGAGGTCTACCCTCCACCGTGAACTGGGCGGGGGAGGATGCGTAGGTGTTTATGATCTGAACGATGAGATTGGAGTCCGACGGAAGCGAGTAGTAGGCGAAGTCAAAGGAGATGAACATCTTGAAGTTGCCCGCGGCGGCAGCAGCGGCGTAGGCATAGCCCAGCTGGGTGTTAGTGTAGCTGTCCTTCCCGATGTTTAGGGCGAAGGCATCGATGCCTGAAGCCTTTGCGTCAGCGATCTCCGTGGCCCAATTCGACTGCGTGTAGCCGCTGAGGATGCCGACGACGACATGGGCGAAAACTGACTTGGGTATTGTAGCGCCGCGAACACCGAGGAGAAGTGAAGAAGATACCAGCAGGCCGAGGAGCGCAACAGGCTTCATGTTTGGAGGGCACCCAGATGACCGTCTCTTTCTTTGTTTTTTTCGCCGTAAGAAGAGATCGAGGGGAGTAGAGGCCAACCAGCATTAAGGAAGGGAATGATGACGAGGAACCTTCTGTTTCCTCACAGGGGGAACCGTTTCTGTTGTTGGCTGCGATCTGCGGATGTCGAAGGCGGATTATATAGAAGAATTAAGAGTCGGAAGCGAATAAGGGGTTTCTAGATTGTACTCGTGGAACAGTGATTTCCGAGTCCTCACCGGGAAGAGGGGGCGGCGGCCGCCGGTGAGACAACGACGGAGAACACCCAATCCACGGAGTCAACAGATATCCGAGAAACGCGGTTAGAGAACAAGCATACACGGAGACGCCAACCTGGAGGATGTGCCCATTAATGAGGCGGCAGTGATGACGACGGACAAAGGCCAAGTCAAACACGTCTACTCCTGCACATAAAACACAGTTATTCCATTGATGTAACTATTTGTAATAGTATTATGTGACTTGTCGATTTCTTGGAAAGACGCGTAATTCCATGAAACAAACAACCTTTTTACATTCTCTCTCTCTCTCTCTCTGGCTCCTCTTACATACTCTTTATTGAATTCTAGTGTCAATCTAATTTGCATGTTGGGTAAATATGTGTAAAGAGTAAAGTAGTCATTTTATGTCATCATGAAATTTATTACATATTTATAAATTTGAATGAACGAGTACTTATAATTTTTGTTGCCTTCTTATTTCAATATTTCAGGAAAATGAGTGTAGTTAGATAGTTGACTCAGCTTGTATGAAGAGACACAAGAAAAGAAATTTAAGCATTACAAGAGAAAAGAGGGAGAATGGTAGTTCTAACTTTCATACAGTTCGTGTTGTATGTTTACAAGTAGTGTTCAACGTTCTATACTATGTACATGTTGTATGAAGAGGCAACCAGGAGGGTTGTGAATTATAACCTTGTGCATGTTGGCTCTTGGAGTTATAAGTTTGTTGATGTGGGAAAAGGTGTATACAAGTAAAATGGTCATTTCACACTATTATAAAATTTCAATGTCTAAAAATTTATGAAATCAGAGTTTATTAACCTTTGAAAATTTCTACAAAAATTTAGAGCAATTTGGAATGTTTCAATTAACATTCTCATTTCAAGAAAATGAGTAAACTTGATGCTAATGAAATGAAAAGAAAAGGAAAAACTTGAAAGTGCTACAATGCAGACTACCCAAACTATAATACTCATGTATGCTGCAATACTTGCGACCCATGAAAATTTTTCTTCACAATTGTTACAATACATAACTATGAGCTAGCCAATAACCACATGTGGGTAGCCCTTAGAACAGGTTTAAATGAGAATATTTTGTTTGCTATGTTGGTTTTTAGATCTTTCATAGTTTTGAGGTTGAAAAAAAAAGTCAAAGGGTTCAGTGATGACTTTACATTGTTAAAAATATATTTATTTTGGAAAGAGCTAAGCATAATGTTTTTACAAGTCTTAGAATAGTTATATGTCATCAGAAGAGTGATTGAATGGCCCATTGTCTCTTCCTACTTTTCATAAAAAAAAATCCACTTATGAGTATACTCACTTAATTGGAAGAAATTTACTGAAAGAGAAAAACATCGTCTAATGGGAAAATAGTGATTTCACATTAATAAGATTATATCTTAAACTCATGAAAATATTCTTTACCCATTTGGGCTTACAAGTTTTCTTTATTCACTTCATTTTATTAAGTGAATTGACTCACTTTGTATGAGACATGCCCAAGTTACCATTATGAGAGTGTCTTGATAGTCTTATATGGTAAGACTAAATAAGGAGTCAATTCACTTGTTATTGTGATTCTAAAATAACAAAGCAAGTGAGTCATTATAATGGGAAAACACTACAATCACTAACAGTAAGTTATCATTCAAGTAAATTAGTTGACTCATTTTAAAATAAAAAGATAACTTAAGAGAAAGTGCATACAAAGGTAAAATAATATTTTTTAATTAAAAAATGAATATTTACATGATCTTAGATAGTATTTTTAATATTCTAAGAGATATTATTTTCAAAAAAATTCTATTTCTTTCCCTTTTGCAGGAAGTGAGTCAAACTCATGAGTTCACTCATATAAAGAGAAGTTGGGGCTAGAATAGTGTAAGCCAAAATAAGCATAAGACAAGCTGATACATTAATTTTAACAATATGAGAATTAAATTATTCAGCATGCAACGAGATGACTCAGTACTCCAAGAACTTCATTTCATGTTTTCTCTCAAGATTTCAAGTCACTCTTCTCCCATAGAAACTTATGTATACTCGAGCCTACAAATTCATAGCAACAAAGGAACACGCCAAAGTGTAAGAGTAATAAATTATTATATTCTTGTATCTGAGCAACTTTTTTCCAGAAACCTATAAAAAGTATTTTTCAAAAATATTTGAGTTCACTAGAGTTGTTCAATTTAGTTGGATGGTGCCTGAAGACTATGTTCAATTGATGTACTAACAAGAGCTAGTAGCGTTGATATTGAAACAGCCACACTTAAATTATTTACTATAGTTTAACTTTAAATCTTTCTTCCACAGCTTGATCACCTTATTTGAGTTTGATATACTTATCCTAAACTTCACATCATCAACAGAATGTATTTTATAGTTATTTGGTCCCAAATCTACATCTAATCCTAAGGATGTGTCCCTAAGTTCTTCTACTAGATGATATGCCTTGTCTTCACTCTTATTCATAAAATTTCCTTTACATGGGTATTTTTTATTTTTTATGTTGTTCTATTAGTCTAATATAAAAATATTAACCAATTTTTTACTTAGGAACTTCATCGTGTGGATATTTTCTCATAATTCTTTTAAATCTACTCCACGGTGTGGACGTTTTTCCTTTTCAATTTTTGTGGGCTTACCATTTTAAGCTGACCCAACTGATGTAGCTTCAATGATGCAGCTTTTAATAGTTTTCATACGAAAATGCATACATGTCAAAACCATGGATTAAATTTTCTTTTTATTGTGATGTGGCTAAGAAGGCTAATAGCTTAATCAATAGGTCTTGGTCTACTTTTCACACGCTTCAACACAACTCCAATTTTTTTTCCAGAAAAGTAAGAAATTTCTAATTTATAATCTTACATCATGAATATATTATTGAAAAATATGAAATACAATTCAAGGCTATAAACTTTGGATTATTGTATTAATACGTAAATTAAAATATCAAAATAATTTCATAAATATAAATGATCTAAAGTACAAGTTTAATCATGAATTTTCTATATAGTATTTGAACATGTAAGTATATTTTAATTCAAATATATGTAGTTAATCATAAATTTATGTTAATATTATATAAAATTAAACATATTTTCCTTATAAGCTTAGAGTGTTACAGCTCCCTAATGTAATTCTATGCTCTCATTTTACATTTCCTCTTCTTCATCAACAACCGAAAACAAAGCATCAAAGAGTCCTAGTAATATTCACTCTAATACAAGTTCAAAGCATTTCTTTTTTCTTATTAGTCCAATATTTTGTACCTTGAACACTTGAATGACTTTGTTCTTTCAACTTTTTTTAAAAAAACTTTCTACATGTAACTAATTTGACTCTAACCTATGGAATCCTTCTCAAATATTCTTTTCTTAAAATTTTCTATTTATGTAACTTTGAAACCATAAAATGGTGAAAATTTGGGTTTTAGAGATAACCCTTCTTTGATACTTGATAAATTATACACATACAAAGTGACCATTTTATATCATTATAGACAGTTATTGGAAACCAAGGTATTGTCCTCTTTGGGCCCAACATACTTTACCTTTCATTCCTTGTAAGGAGTCTCATATTAAGACCAAGGAAACACAACTAAAGAACTTGTACCATCAAGAAATTCTTGTTTGATATGAAGTTGGAGGTCCAAGGAAGGGATAAAAATGGTCAGAGCCTAATTGTGTAGTATAGTGTAGAATTATAGAGTTTGATAGATTCAAAATTTCATAAATATAATGCATGACCTTATTATCATTACACTATAAGGACACCTTCAAAAGATAGGTAAATCAACTTGTTAGATTCTACGTGACAGCACATAGTATTAAGAGGGACAAGGGGAGATTAGTTTTGCTTGAATTCCTTTATACTTAT